GTAGTTATAAGTTGCTCTCAGAAAAGAACGTGTGGCTATAGCATAGCCTCTGTAATAATGCAATGTTATTCTGGGTTTTATAGTGACCGTTTACAATAGCCTCATCAATGAATAGGATCTTGCAAAACTCACATATTGGCAATTTTTGGCGAGTAAGGCAGCAAATGCAAAGACTAGATTTTATTAGCAATTTATGTATTTCTAATTTGTAGCCTTTACCTCCATATTGTTGACATAAAGGAAAAACACTAAATTTGTGGTCTCTACCAGAAGCTGCACCTGACCACCTTCAGATCTTCAGATAAATATTTATGTATATTGAGCTATAATCAATAATGTATCCATAATGTATAGATGTACCTACCTGAAGGTGACCTGTTATGAATAGGCATACTTTAAACAAATATGCATTGTCAGAAATTCTGATGGATCAGTCAAGATCCACATGTGAACCTTAAATTCAGTATGAATTGGCCCTTCCTCAGGCAGCAGTGACCTCAATCAGGCATTTATTGCAACCGTCGTCCAGTCTCGTTCTCTAGATTCTTCTGATACACTGCAGACAGAATTCATAGTTGTGTCAATTATAGGAAACCTTCTGGGTTCTGAAGCAGTAGAGCAATCACCAACGTTCACAATCCTTGCACCATGCTTGACGGCTGTAATCAGATTATTTTGCTCAGTCTCACTGCATTTTTTCCCCTCATTAGAGATATTGAGGTCAAAAAGTTTTACCTTTGACCAATCTGTATATTTAATATTTTTTCCCAAAAGGCCTGTGGTTCAACTCTGTTAGACACCAATGGCCAGTTTTGGAATCACAAATGCAGAAAGGGTATGAGGAGCCTCTTCTCACCCATGCTGGCCCTGGATGGCTTGGCTATTTACTAATACAAGCAGATAGTGGTCAGCTTCCTGGTTAATCTACTGGGTGTGAGACTAGCCACCCCAGTATACCCTTACCATTAGTAACTTAAATAGATTATTTGTAGTGCATAACTAATTAAGATACATTTTCACCTACAAAACATTGTGGTTCAATTAATTAAGGGACACTGCATGTACTGCATTATAGCCATTGTAAAGCGCTGCGGAATTTGCTGGCGCTCTATAAATATCATAATAATAATAATAATAATAATAATAGCGGTTATGGTTGACTGAGATAATAAATTTAGTACCCTATTCCTGTTAAGCTGTTTTCAAGTACTTTATTCAAACCCAGAGGCCACCCTCTCTGCACCTAATGTAATTTTTATGTCGTCATACCTCAAACCTCATCCATTATATGCTATCCTCATCTTACCCCAACCTTCATCTTACCTTAAATTGTTTCAACCAACTTATCTGGGGAGTGAGCCTGAGAAAGTTGTTACGCTCACTTGTGTCGTGTAATAGACTGCGTCTTATGATTCGAGAACAAGGATGCCATAGAGATGGTGGTTGGTACTCTTCAGATGGGAGAAAGAAACATGGTATGGAAACAACTCAACAGTGCCATTGACTATGTGTCCACAAACTGGAGGTGCCATATTTTAAGTTGCTGAATACTAGCTTCTTAAACAATGCTTGCTATTTAATACCCTAGACTTGCGACTCCTTAGCAGCAGTTGGGTCTTCAAAAACCGTAACCGTTTTTCTGTAATGTGAGAGATATTCTTTTTTACACTGAACGTGTTTGAGCAAACATCAGTTGCATTCTGTGAGCTTGCATGGCCTATCAGTTTGCTGCTGAGCATTCTCAGTTGACCAGGATAGCATTGGCAAAGCAGAAACGTCACAATTGTCATGTTGGAAAGCCAACCTACTATGATGGAGCTACACTGAATGTTGTTGTGCTTTGCAGTACAGGGCATTCTACTGCCATTGTTCCACTATGGAGAGTGCATGGTTTTATGCAGCAATGTATGATATTGGAAAAGCAAGATCCATTATAAAAGGAGCGCCAACGTCATTTTGAAGGTAGATGGATGAAGATAGACACACGCAGTGCATGAGACTGAACGCGATTTACAGAGAAGTGCAATGGTTGGTTGCCCTTACTGCAATGATTCTTTTATTTTTAAATATTGTAACTATTCAGATGCAAATTGGATGGACACGCATTGCCAATTTTGGCAGTGATTGGGCTTACCAGTAAACTAGACATGGACCCATTAACACCATCTCAGAATCTTCAAAATAATTGCATCCATGCATATATTACGCAAAACCAAAACAGTAAGACCTGCTACAGACAACAAAAACAGCATGAATAATGTATGGGCATTGATTGTGATCGAAGATCGTCTGTACGAATACTAAATGAACGACCTTTCTCAGGAGCTGTCATTGAATGGGCAACGTCAAGAGAAGCCTCCCGGCAATATCAGGACAGAGCTTTGTGAATTGATATCAAAAGGACAAACTGTCAGAGGTTCAGGCAAATGTTTAAAAGAGATAAGAAGTGGAGGGAAGCATGGGGGCAGAATTAAAATAATCCAGAGATAATGCTGTATAACCAGTTAAACTAAAAAAAAATAGTGGAATTTATTGTATAAGCAAAATACAAGTTGGAAATTAACTGTTATATCTCTGGCAAAATGCAATGGCCTCTTTCAAATCTTAAACCCGCGCCCTAGATCCATTTATTTCAGCTGGTCGTACCCCAAATGTTTTCACATTTCCCAGTTGAATTTACTACTTTTAACTACTCGGCTGGGATGTAAAGTCATGAATCCACTACATTGATTTCACACCTCGTTTTTTTCTCACAGTCAAGAGTATCCACTCATGACTGTTGGTAATAGCTCTCCAAGAAATTTTAATCATCTGCTTTATTTTTTAGATAAGACAACGGGAGAAAAGTCTCCAAGCTAAAGTATTGATTATTTATTTTAAACTTCTTTAAAGTAAAAAAAAAAAGTACCGATTCTCCCACTTTGCACCAAATGCGGACTTTTGGTGATTGGCTTGGCAGTAAAGACAATCACAATGATTCATTCATTTGTCCATGCAGTTAGTGATACATTTTCATTCTTATAACCGAAGTAAGGCTGTAAAGCTGTTTGTTTATGGATAAATTTATATTTTGTTTTATGTGTCAGAAATTATAGGTAACGTATTTCTTATTTTAAAGAATGCCTGATAGTAAGGACAAAAGATGACACGTGAGCATCAGCTGACAACACTAGATATGATGAGAGTTAAAGGAACACTATAGGCATTATTTGACATGAAGTGGTCTGGCTTCCATGTGCTCACTGTGTTAACCCAGCAGCGCAAAACATTGCCGTTGTACAGAACAGCCACTAGAGGAGCGTTTGCCCAAATACTGGAGTAAACCTGGAATATTTCATAGAGGCCATCTGATTGGCACAGCACAGTGATTTGTTGCAGACGCACAATCGTCTCCCAATTCATTCCTATGGCAAAGCATTGGATTGGCTGAGATCATTGATCTCTATGAACTCAGCCTAGGAGGTAGGATGAGCCGAAGACTGACAATATATATATATATTGTATAGATTTATTTTTGTTGTTGTTCTTATATTTGGGTTGTAGAGGAGTGTTAACACTGTGGGTGAGCCTTGCGGTGTGTGCAGCAGTTTGTAACTGTGAGTATCAGAGCAATGTTTCCTATAAGTGTGTCTGGAATATATTTCAGTGTATGTTTGTGAGTGTCTCTACCGGGAAGCAAGGAACGTCCAACACAATCTGGGGGTTTTAACACTATTAGTGCCTGGGAGACAACATGCCCTGGTACATGGAATGGGCAATAGGTGGTCTCTCTGCCACAAGACTTAGTAACCCACTGGTACTATACTGGTGCTAATGGTCAATACTGATGTTGATGGAACCTGACACAAGTCAAAAGAATATAGGTGTCCATCAATTGGACTCATGTTGGTTAATAAATGGTCCTGAGGAACCCCCACATTTTTTCCTTTTTACCACCTAGTGCATACTCAGTGAGGAAGCAGGGGGTGCTGATGTACTGTTTTTGTAACTATTTATTCCCCACATTATATAGGCTGAAGGAAAAGCACAGAACAATCAGAGCTCTTAACGAATGGTTTACTATTTTTGTGTGTTTTTTATCTTACATTGTGCCTGAATGCTGCTTACCCAGCCATCGTGTTTATCCATATATTTCAGTAATAGTTTGACAATTGTCCTGGAATGTCTTTCTGAGCTATTTGGCCCAAATTTAGAGAAAATTCAATTTGCTTAAAAGCCAGTGTCATTCAGTTTTGTTTTTATCTTCAATTTAGCTCACAATAAAAATCATAAATGTCACCTGAATTGAAGGAATAAGGCTGAATTTGCTGCTGTAAATCCATTCTTTAGTGAATTGCACTTTCAGAAACGTTGAAGATGCTCTTTGATTATTGTATAGTGGTTTCCCATCCCCAAACATTCTCAGAGGTCTCAGGTCAATCACTATGGGCTGCTAATGTGCTCAAAGACCTATTCTTTCTTTAAAGAATATATTTTCATGTTCAGGTGACAGGCGGTACAGATACCCACAGGTCAAGTGAGACTGAGAGACAGATTGCATAAAAAATTAGCCCTTGTATTCCCACTCCCCCCTCCCCCAAAAGCAGAACGTTTACAAATGTGAAAAATTGAGAACTTACACTAAAGTAGTGCAATATTCTCAAATTTCATATTGGGTAGCAATTGTTTAGTAAAAATGCTTGGTTATTTATTTTGTGTTTCCAAATGAGAATTTACATTTTCAGAAAGATTGATACAGCATACCATAATTGAATCAGTGTGTCTACCTTTAACTGCAATTTGATGCTAAAGTAGATATTTCCTGGGGTACTTAGGACCTCCCGAGTTAGACGGTGTATGGGGTAGAAGGGATGTAGCTATAAGTCAAGATTTAATATATCCATGACATGCTCTGTCTCGTTTAGAAATTTTTTTTTTTTACATATTCCAGTGTTTTCTTTTTCTGCCTAAGAGTATCCAGATCGTGAACAAGGTTACAGGTCTGAATATCCCTTTTGAATTTAAGTCCCTGTTGGGTCTCCGATGCTGTGGTCAGGGTCGCAGGTAAAGGAGATCGTAATAGCGTATCGTGTACCCCAACGCACTTTTTCCACCTGATGGAGATTTTCTGATCCAGAAGTGAAGAAGGATAGGCGTCCTGCAAGAGAGATGTTAATTGACAGGTTAAGATAGAAAATGTACTGTTCAAAATGGGATCCATGCAGCTACACAGTTACCTCCTTACAATAACCCAGCCTCACATTTAATAATTCATTCACATGTCATGAAACGCCAAGCTCTATGATACATAGATAAAAGATGGACATTAGCAACATGGAACACCAGTCTGTCTCATTTTAAGTAACAAACCACATCGTTGAAGACCCAGAGGAAATTTATCTACGAATCATCCATTTATTTGGAAAATAAATCTTTAGAGTTCAGAACAAGTGGTTTACTTAAATTATTAAGATTAAGAGGACCACTAGACAGTGTTTACATTGCTATTAATAGATCACGAATAGTTTTCTCAGCACTGTACAAACATATAATATAAATACAGTTTTTTATGTTTAGATTAATAATGTTTACATCTACATTGAATTGGCGCTCTCTATATTAGCAGAATCCCAAGCATGTTTTTTGAGTTTTTAGAGAAAAATCCTGCCCTACAAAGGCACATATCTCCAGGTATATGTCACTGCACGATGCATCATAAAGTGAAATGGTCAATATAAGAAATGGGTTTTGCACAGTGGTTTTGAGCAATTACTGACTCCATGCTTGTATTCTCCATAAGGAGAGAGCTCTTCGTTAAAGGGACACTATAGGCATCAAAAGAAGCTGTTTTGTGTATTTCATGTCTCAATTCTCTGCTATTTAGGAGTTAAATCACTTTTGTTTCTGGGCCTGGCTAGCTGCCGAGCAAGATGGAAGCATAATCCACAGCCCTGGCACATGAGCTCTCGCAATCCCAGCGTACAGACCGCGGAAACCTGCACCAAAGTCAAGATGCACCAAAGTCAAGATGTCCAAGAAGAATGCTTCCAAAGCAGAAAAACTGAATTTCTTCACACACAAACCACAAATGGAGTCTACCAGCCGGCAGGCCTCAGACAAAGATGGCGAGGACAGCTTAGAGAGAGATAGCCCGCAGCAAGATACGGAGGCATCTGAGACAGCAAGGAAACTCACTACAAGTTACCTTACCAAGGCACTCAACAGCCTTTCACACAAATTAATTGCCTCATGGCAGAACTCCATGGACTCCCTGCACAGGGATGTACAAGAGCTCAGCAAACGCACAGCTCGAGCAGAGTCCAAAATGGACAAATTCACCACAGTGCATAATGATTTGGCAAGCCATGTGGAATGTTAAGAGTCCAAGCTGGAATGCACCAAAGATAAACTAGCAGATTTGGAGGACCGGGTGAGGTGCAACAACCTCCGTCTTAGGGGGTGCCTGAGACTATTCTCCTGGCAGAACTATAGTCAGAGGCCTTCTGCATGCATATGCTCCGGAGATTCCCGCCAACATATTGCTTGTTGATCGCGTACACCGGACCCCACGCCCGAGGCACCTACCTGACTCTACAAAAAAAAAACTAACCCTCTGCTCAACCCACTTAGAGCTGTCTAAGAAACTGATATACAGATAGTACAAACGCGTGACCCCCAGTGTGACTAACAGGTGTTAGAGGTGTCAATGAAGGAATAGGGGATATGCTACACATTTGGTGCGCTTGCCTGTGACTCAAAATACTGGCAAAACATTGCACAACTCATAAAATCCATGACAGGGTTGACCATTCCGTATACTCCAGAAAATTACCTGCTACAAAATTACCCCTCAGGGCTCGTGGAAGCTATGATTTATCTTACTTACAAAATTAACATAGCAGCGCGGACGCTCATTAGTAGGAAATGGAGGAGTACAGACTCTCTGACTATACAAAAATGTATCCATTTAGTGGACCAAAACAAAACCTTGGAATGTGCAGCAAGACTAGCAGCCAACCAAAAGAACAAAATTTGGAGAATAGCCTGGAATAGATGGAATGAGGTCACCAAGGCCATGAATCCATAACCACACACTCTCAGAAGTGTTGACAGCCGTGCTCATACATGGAGACCACTGTACAATACTGGGTTGACAGATGAGTACCTATACTATCCTCATGTCTTACCTAGTGTGCCCACTGAACACCACCACACCGATAGTATCACCTGACAGCTGGGACAGGAGCTAAACTCTGATATCGACCCATGCCACAATGGCAAATAACTTCTTATGGCATTATTGTATCATACATTCCAGCTGTACATGCATATGTGTTTGAATATGTAAAACTCTCAACCCTCTACTTTGTCTCTGTATTTCTCCTCCACCTGACTTTCTTTGACACAAGGTGTTGTCTTAGAGTCAATCCTTGAAGACGTCAGTGATGGCTGCAGGGAATTGACTGTGTCTGAAAGATCCTGCGGGATCCCCAATAGACCTCAATGCATTATCACACATGTGCAAAAGTAAAGTAAAGTAGTGTCGGTGCCAAAGAGGACTCAGCTGAATTAAGATGATGACGCCCACAAGGGACATGTTCAGGTAAGTAAACTTACCTTTACCTGCCCTTTCCCGGCCAGCAGACTACAGCAGTGATGTCTCCATTGGAGGTGCCACTCAGTAGGGGGTGCCATGACTGTTAGTGTCATGAGTCACCCCCCATACATTCATAGTGCGGGCTGCAGCTGTCGGAGTGCACTATGCTGCAGTAATGTGGATGAGTAGGGGGAAGAGGAATGTTGAGACGCGCAGAGTCGCGAAACATCACGAAGATGTGCGCCACTGCCTGTCCACCTTCACGGATCTACAGCAGCAGAAGGATCCGAGCTGACTTCAGGGCGGCACCGTGGTGGCAGTAGTGATCTTTGCCTGAGGCCGGAGCAAGTCATCCTCAATCATGAGTAGAGGATATTTATGTGGAGGAGGGGGTATGATTTTTATGTGATGGGGTAAGGGGTGTATTAACTGTATTTGAAGGGGGTGTATGGATTTTATGTCAAGAGGTGTATTAACTTCATGTGAAGTATGGATTTTATGTGAAGGTACGGGGGGTATGGATTTTATGTGAAGGGGTGGGGTGTATTAACTTTATGTGAAGGTACGGGGGGGTATGGATTTTATGTGAAGGAGGGAGGTATGGATTTTATGTGAAGGGGTGTATTAACGTTATGTGAAGGTACGGGGGGGTATGGATTTTATGTGAAGGAGGAAGGTATGGATTTGCGTAAAGGGGTGGGTGTATTAACTTTATGTGAAGGGGGGGTATGGATTTTATGTAAAGGGGTGGAGTGTATTAACTTTATGTGAAGGAGGGGGGTTATGGATTTTATGTGAAGGGGAGGGGTGTATTTACTTTATGTGAAGGTACGGGGGAGTATGGATTTTATGTGAAGGGGTGGGGTGTATTAACTTTATGTGAAGGAGGGGGTTATGGATTTTATGTGAAGGGGTGGGGTGTATTAACTTTATGTGAAGGAGGGGGTATGGATTTATGTGAAGGAGCGGGGTGTATTAACTTATGTGAAGGTACGGGGGGTATGGATTTTATGTGAAGGGGTGGGGTGTATTAACTTTATGTGAAGGAGGGGGGTATGGATTTTATGTGAAGGAGGGAGGTTTGGATTTTAGGTGAAGGAGGGAGGTATGGATTTTATGTGAAGGGGTGGGGTGTATTAACTTTATGTGAAGGATTTTATGTGAAGGGGTGTATTAACTTTATGTGAAGGAGGGGGGTATGGATTTTATGTGAAGGGGTGGGGTTTATTAACTTTATGTGAAAGAGGGGGGTATGGATTTTATGTGAAGGGGTGGGGTGTACTAACTTTATGTGAAGGAGGAGGGTATGGATTTTATGTGAAGGGGTGGGGTGTATTAACTTTATGTGAAGGAGGGGGGTATGGATTTTATGTGAAGGGGTGGGGTTTATTAACTTTATGTGAAGGAGGGGGGGTATGGATTTTATGTGAAGGGGTGGGGTGTATTAACTTTATGTGAAGGTACGGGGGGTATGGATTTTATGTAAAGGGGTGTATTAACTTTATGTGAAAGGGGGGTTATTAACTTTATGTGAAGGGGGGTTATTAACTTTATGTGAAGTAGTGGGTAAGAATTTGATGTGAAGGGGGTGTATTAACTTTACGTAAAGGAGCCGGGGTGCAGGGTTTTTATGTGAAGGGGGAGGGGTGCAGGGATTTTATGTGTAGGGGGCATGCAATGCTTTTATGTGAAGGGGCTGTATGAATTTTATGGAAGGGGGTGCAGGGTTTTTATGTGAAGGGCAGTGTAGGTTTTTGTAAAGGGGAGGTGCAGGGGTTTTGTATAAGGAGGCAGGACAGGATTTTTGTAGGATTGGGAAGGGCAGGGGTTTTGTATGAGGGGCCAGGTTTTTTGTGGAAGGGGGGCAGAGGATTTGTGGACATGGGTGCAGGGGGTTGTATAATGGGTCAGGGCAGGTGTTTTGTGTAATGGGAGTTGGACAAAAATTTTTTCTAAGTTAATAATTTATTTTTCATAGTTCTAGTGTTTTCAAGTTGATCTATAATTTACAAATTTGTACAATAAAATATTCTTGAAAACATTTAAAAAAAATTGTGGGTTGATTATTTTAACATTTTAAAAAGGGGTGAAAGGGGGGTGTCAAACCCAGGACCCACCCCGGTTGCCAAATGCCCTAGGTATGCCCTTGCACACAATTCTGCTGGCGAAGTAAAGCCGTCTAGGTATTGTATATGTATAATGGGTTTATTTTGTTAAATTGAACCCATGAGCATTTATCCCTTTAATGGAGGTATTTATTTAGTCTGGTGGTCTGTTAAATAATAGAAATAGGTTTACTCCGTAAAAGGTTTATTGATCTCTATGTAACAGCTCATTCTGTTTCTGTAACAGCAGCTACTTCCTACGCTATTCATAGGCAACAATGTTACCATTCATGGCAACAATCTTGAACTAGTCTACGCATGACATACTGTCAAGGTAACAGATAATGCAACATATAATATAAAGGAAAGGGCTCTCAATGAAGTAGTAATTCCTGTCTCTAACATGGTTGGGTTTAGACCTAAAAAATTGCAACTGTAGCAGAAAGACATACTCCTCCAAAAATGTGCAAACAAAATAAATAATGTAATGTACCAGTGCTTGTAAAAACAGCTCTACAATATTGTAAATAGGAGCAATAAAATACACTGTCAAAGGTCCCTTAACCCTGCAAAGCTAGTTATTGCAGTTTTTAAGAACTGTAATAATTACTTTACAAGGGTTAACTCCACCTCTAGTGGCTGTCTACCAGCCACTAGAGCGACTTCCGGGCTGTTAGGTGACTTTTGCTCGCCTGACGCTGGACATCCTTGAGCTATGAATGGTCTTCAAACGTCACTCGAATCTCTATAGGAAAGCATTGTATAACTCTTTCCTTGGGTAGAAATCATAATGCGAACGTGGCCAGTGGTGGGCATGCACATTAGGTCTCCCCCGTTGATGTCAGAGGACCAAAGGCGGACCAGAGCCAGCGCCAACGGACTTTGGCGCTGGACCCAGGTAAGTGACAAGAGGTTTTCTTTAACCCCTTCTGCACCACGAGGGGGTTGGGGGGAGGGAGCTATAGTGCCAGGAAAACAAGTTTGTTTTGTCCTGGCACTACAGATTCCCTTTAACCCCTTAAGGACCAAACTTCTGGAATAAAAGGGAATCATGACATGTCACACATGTCATGTGTCCTTAAGGGGTTAAGCCTTAATAAACTACGCTATGCACCTTTCTATACACTATAACACTCCAATGTTTTGCATACTGCTCTTCCAATAATCCCCAGAGCATTAATAGAATTGCCTGAGGACGGTGATGAGGTCTTCCTAAGGGTAACAAGATATTGATTTAATTATTATTACTGGAAAGATTAATTATAAATTTTGGTTTGATGTGTATAGTTGTAGGTCAATATAATTTGAAAACAATTTTAGCTGAACAAGATTTTAAATAATTGAACTTTTGATGGGACTTTTGTTGTTAAGCACTAGAGCAATTAACTAGAACTAGCAAGTATAAAAAGTGTGCTCAACATAAAAAAAAAAAAGAATATATTTGCTGCAATTCAGCTGGTATCGATTCAATCTCCAGGACAATAAAGCAAGTTCTTCAAATAAACTGAAAACAAAAACAGAAGATGTGCAGTGCCGACACAATAACGTATGTCTGTCTAGAACAAAGTATTCTATTTCCTCAGATGGACAATTATAAAATAAATCAAACTGAAAAAATTATAGTGCTTGATCACCATCCAAAGTGTCTTCTTTTTAAGTCCATATTAAAGGGATACTATAGTGTCAGGAATACAAAGCTGTATGTATTCTTCTAAACCCTTTATTTACTTACCTGATCCCAACGTTGATGTCCCTTGGCGCTGGGTCGCTGCTCTGCCTCCTTCGACATCTCCAGACGAGCAGGTGCTAATGCGCATGCGCAGTGAGTGCTGGTCGCGCATTAGGCTCTCCTCATAGGAGAGCACAGAACCAATGCTTTCCTATGGGGAAATAGCTGACGCCCAAAAGTCTGTTTACATCCATTAAGCGCCTCCAGTGGCTGTCTGGTAGACAGTCACTGGAGGCAGACTTAGTGCTGCAATGTAAACATTGCAGTTTCTCTGGCAATAGGCAATAAGGGACACTGCACCCAGACCACATAAATGAGCTGAAGTGGTCTGGGTGCCTATAGAGTCCCTTTAATCATCCAATTTAATAAGTGATATTCTATACTTTAGGGGATTTCGATTAGAATCTATCTAATCTAGAATTATAAATAAATAAGTAGTTGCTGTTAGAATGTACAAATATCTTTCGTAGGAAATTCTCCCCAGTTTCATTTCTGGGGGTGAACTTGTGAATTTCAGAATGCCTGAATTAGACATTTCTATTTATTGTATTGTGCATTCTACCCTATGTGTGTAAAAAGAAGGGAAACGATTCTACACTTTAAATGTGAAATTACAGAGGGAGGTTTGAAACCCATAAAGTATTTGTGTCTGTTCCATCTCGCTCCATCCTTCAAATCTGCTGCAGGAAAATTAAAAAGAAATATGCGTTGGGAGTTGTGCAATTAAGCTTTCCTCTATGCCTAGTAAGTAATTGCTGCGCGCATCTCCTGGCTGCAGCCCATGCTGAGTTTATGTTCTGCTCTCAGTTTGATGTTTTTCCTCCATCGCTTATCCCTGAAGCGATCATCTGCTGTTGAAGAGCCCCATATTATAGCGCAGGTTCTCCTGCACCCCAGGAATGAGAAATTAACACAGAATTGTACTGAAAGATTAAGGAACAGTAGGAGGTTTTTGTGAAAAATATTTTTTTCTGTATTAACCATGTGAAATCATCACAACCTTCAGCTGGCTCTCCAGAAAGACTATACTATAACAATATAGCATAGAATAAAGGAAAATAATAACAGTGTCGCTGTAAATATGGGAAGACAGCATATATTAGTTCAAGGACAGCAGTATATATTAGGTTAGGGCAGGAAGAAGAGATTAGGTCAGGGCAAGAGGAGCATATCGGGTCAGAGCAGGCACCATAGAAGATTAGATCAGGGCAGGTAGTAGAAATTGTGTCAACATGCATCAGCATAAACCGTCCTTACTGAATTATCTCCAAGCTCACTCAGCTATAGGTGTTTCACCTCCAACTTGCTTGTCTAAGCAAAGACCTAAAACCCCTACAACGATCAGTAAAGTGTTTGGAGCGTAGACATATCTCAAACCTGGAGAAAATGACTGATCAGATGATAGTGGTTGCATGGATCATGAGCTGTGCTGAAAAGATACACAATCTGATCTGGAAACATAAAATGAATATATTAAATAAACAGAGCACGCATCTGGATTTGTACTGTAGTAGAAAAGCAAAGTGGCTCTTGTTTTGCAATAATTTCAAGGTTTGTGATATGGAGCAGGTTTTGCCTGTAATCCCCGCACTAGTTGTTAAATGGATGTTGTAAAAAGCTGGAACACTTCACACGGGTAGGTGTAGGTAATAGATCATGACGTGTCTTTCTCAGAAGAGCTCTTTACAATATGCATTCGGCTTCTAGCTACTTTGCCGCAGCTCAGCAGTCAAAGTAAACGCTGGTGCAGTGGTTAACTCACCTCATCTCTTCCGACAGGCTTCTAATTGATTTAATCTAGAGCCAATAATTAGTGTGAGAAAGGGGATGCTGGAGGGAAGGATCGGGCCATTGTTTGGGAAAATGAGACATAATGTATTTGTGGGTCGAATGCTTCACCCCAGTGATTACTTAACATGCAACACTGGAGTTTCCAATATTAAACGCCTGAGCTTCAGAACCCCATAGCTATCATTACATCATACTGATGGCAACTTGAATATTAAATAAATAAATCTGTTAAATGGGCAGCATGGCCTTAAAAGAAAGTTCAAAGTAAAGGGGATGTTCCATGCACTTGTTTGCTGAAATTCTTACAGAAAATCCTAGATCTAGCGGGTGATAAAGTCTCACGCACTCCAATGCAGAACCAAAGGACTGTTTTTCAAGATGTTTGTGCATATAATGTTAGAGATCAAACTTATCAAAACTCCAAAGCAGACACATGGCAGTAAAGGCTGCTTTAGGACTTCCTGTTCCAGACAAAAGAGAAGCTTCGGAATCTGCAGGACTTTTTGCTTTTTTGAAATGACAACTGAATCTGCTCGTGAGCAGTCAAAGTATTGAACAGTGCAGAGGAAGGAAAGCACGACTCACTGCATGTGCCAGGTGCCGTCTGATCACACGTCAAAACATTCATTGCCAAGTGGCAGGGAATATGGAAGAGGAACACACCATTATGGACACGATCTAGTTTCCATATATTGACACCACAGAAAATAATAATTTCTTTAACCCAGGCAGGAAGAGGATCAAAGGGTTGGAACTGCCAACTAACCAAAATAAATTATTCTTTCTCAATACCTATGTTTGAGTATTTCTGGAACCAGCACACAAAACAAATAAAATGTGCTACACACACACACACACACACACACATATTTTGGCATCTTATCTACTGGACTATATATATAGGTTATAGTGGGGGGGAAAGTTTGATTGAAAACCCCTTCCACCTGAAGTCTGTGGATAGTGAATACAATGTTAAACAAAAATCTGCACACCAGTCAAGCCATAAGACTTGCTTTTCCCACAGAAATCACAAATCTGCAGTGATGTTACTACTGCAAAGGATTCTGGTCATATGCAAATTATTTTAACAAAGAATCAATTTTTGCCTCATTCCATTTTAAACATGGATTTCTTTGAGTCTGTGTTTGCTGTATATAACAGTTTTGAAACAACTTAGGAAATGATGCAAAGCCAGTAAACCACTCATGGACAGCTGTTTCAATGTTAATGCAAATCATCAGCATGAGGACTATATATATATATATTATATATACACACACACACGGCTCAATGTTTGGCCCAAGCTATTTAGCATGGCGAGTAGAAGAAATTCACCCCAGAGTTGGAATTTAAAGCCATGCATTTACAAAGTTACATGCTAGCATCACGGCTGCTTTCTAGAAAATGCACGGACAGGAAAAGGAATAGTTTCTGTTCCATACATCTTATATTTTCTATGTTTTATTCAATTCTGTACATTCCAAAGAAGTGATAGTTCCCCTTTAAAATCCAGGTTTCATTTTGCCTGAGGTATTCCTAACAGCACAAGAAATAGTATGCTTCGATCCTTCACAAACTAAAACACTACTGAGTTTTGTCATCTGTTACAACTGGAGAAAAACCTGGTGCTGTGCTTCTCTGTATAGGCCAAAGATTCTCTTTGAAATAGAAGCCTTTATTCGAACCCACGGAAAAACCTAGAATATTGGTGGAAGGCGTCTGATTTCACCTCAATACTTCCTGCTGACTGAACCTCACTTTTAACATAGTCATCTGCATGCATGAACATCACTTCTGATTACTCACCAGCCTTGGGCTCCACAGTGCTGTTTGATCCTGCATCTATGAATACAAATCTCCCGCCCTCAAAGTCTCTGGAGTAGTCCGACAGGTACAGCAATGAAGTGTAATCAAATGATCCATATGTCACCTGGAGGCAGAAAGGAACAGTTTAAGCTGTACGTCTCATTTCAGATGACTTGCAATGAATTACGATGCTCAAGCCTGTGTATTACGCTCTGGCCTTTAGTCTACACTTGGCAAGAGATAAAGGGAAGAGCAAGGGCTGGCCGTTTGATGCCTGAGTAAAGAAGGCTACAGGAAAAATAATGATTTTCTTTTACTCCTTACTCGGGGAGGGGAATTAATTTATAACCTTCAAGCAGAGAAAGAGAGAAACATTCACATAAGAAGTTAATTTATAAAATAAGCATACATAAAGAAAGCCGGGAACAAGTCACAAAATGGTCGTTCTTTACTTAGAACATCTATGGGTACATGACCAGCTTTAAAATCAGTCTTTACTCCCACTCTGACCTCCCCACTTTTAGACTCTTAAATCCCATCCAAATCCACCATCTAAGATGATTCCCAACTCTGGTCTTCTGCATATCATGTATATACACAGTGAGAACCCCAAAATGCCAAGGGGCTCTCAGACTAGCACTCCCTGTCCACATGTTGAGATTCTGACACTAAACCACCTGCTCTAGCCTCCATATTGTTTACATTCGCTGATGGCATGATCGAAATGCTAAAAACCACAGACTGCGAGATCTTTTTCTATTTAGGACCCCTGGTTGGCAGGCGCTGTCTAACATCCAAATCTTACAAT